GTTTAAATGAGTCCTAATTGAGCTATGGTCATGGAGATATAACATGAAACATCTAAATAGGCATGTAGTGGTATGACTAATATAATTATTTCAGAGTTTGGTTTGATGCTGAACACAGTTCCATAAGGGGCATTTGAACTCGTAAATAATATTGGTTCACTGTAATTTTGATTTTGATTGCAACATACTAGTAGAAAATACTAGTATAATAGCCTCATCCACATATAAAAAAGATTAAAAAAAATAATGAAAGCACTAATAATAAAAAAGGAAGAACCATAACACAATATCTATGAACATGGCTACAATGTGCTGACTGTGTTTGTAAAATAAAACTTTCCTATAACTTCAGACACATACATAAATAACCCACACATTCAGTTAGAAATAAAAAAAAATAAAAATCATCCTTGATCATGGCTAAAAGAATAGCCGAAAGTGCTCAGATATGTGGAACTTTTGGACAGTTTTTACACACATTCTGTCCAGAAAAGAAAGCACTTGTATGAATGCAAGAAAAATTAAATAAAAAGCTTAATCGCAGTACTGTGTCAGTCATCTTTAACAAAACTTATATATATATATATATATATATCGATGAAAAGAAAGCTATTGTTTAGCAACACATTTCAATGGAATAGTTGGTAGAATATTGTTAGGCTTTCAAAATTTTTAAATTTAAAGACATTCAAAAATATTCTTAAATTTAACTGTGAAAGTCAAGGTAAACTATGGAGGATAGTAAGCGATGTAATTTAATGCATAGTAAACAAAAGGGAATAAATTTGTTGTTTTTTTTAAATTTTATTTGTATGTGTGCATATATATATATATATATATATATATATATAATAGTGTAATTTTTATTTAATTTGATAAATTATTTATGTATTTATTTTAGATAATAAAAGGTTTTGATTTAACTATATTCTTTTAATTTGAAAAAAAAAATTATGGTCACATATGTTGGCTTGGGAAAGGATTATATCTTTCAGAAAAGGAGATATTTGAAAAAATATGTTGTGGCAATTTACATTTTAGCAAGATTCAATCGTCACACTGATAAAGTCCTTCAGAGTTTTCCTTTTGTCTTTATTTATATTGTCTTTTTACTGATATGTTTTTTTTTATGTACATCTGACTTTTTACACAGACAAACACACAAGGTGGTGCTGAAAAGTTCTTGGTTTGGCCAGGAAGGAAATCAACAATTCTGATGATTAGTTAGATTTTGGGAAGTGTGTTAGGCAAAGAACATTTTAGCATAGTGTATGTATGTATGCGTGTGTATCTGTCTGTAGCTAAAAATCCTCATTAGCAAGTGGAGAAGAATTTTTTTTCTGCTTCATAACAGCCATAAAAATTCCACATTCAGCTCAGAAATAGCTAAAATTCTAAGCCAGGTTATTGCCACTGATCCCACAAAATTGGTTCTACCACATGTAAGAAGTTCAACGGAAACTCATTCTTGCACTAAAATGTAACACGATTCATGCATATTTTTGGTTCAGTCCAAAATCAAAAGTTATTTTTATAAACAAGTTAACTCATGATATTCTGAAAAGAATAAAATCTGAAAAAAATGTCTGTTTGGTATAATCCATTAAGAGATGAATCGAGTCAGGACCAGTGCATACTACCCCCAAACTCCCCAATGAGGATTGCCAATTCTGAATGGGGATCCCAGACATTCTTCAACGAAATGACCCTCTATATCTTATTTTTTGCTTGCTTTTTTTCAGCCTATTTTTATATACATTACAAATTAAACTAAGAACAACTGACTATTAAAGGATGAAAAATTTTCATGGATTTTGATGTTATTCTGGGGTTTTTTTTTTTTGTCCAAATCTGAATTTGTTTTGCTCATGCTAAGTTTTTTTTGAAAAAAACACTATATAAAATTCACTATTTCTTATCCATAATGTTGAATGTATTAAATTTTTTCAGTTTTTTAACAAGGAAAAACTTAAGTTGATGTTAAAATTGCTGCAAAACATTGTTGGTATAATCTATTATGACATGTCTCTAATTTGTAATTTCTAATCGTAGTCTCCCTCCTATGAAGGGGAATACAGGTTCAATCCCTGCTGGAGTACACATTTTCTTTACTGAGATTTCTTGAATGTGCAGGCTGATAGAGGTAATACTCACTGTTTAATAAATAAAAATGGGGTGTCTGTTTTAAATATGAAGTGTCCACTATAATAATGTTTGAAGTAATAAAAAGTATCAAATCAATAAATGGTAAAAATTCTGTGGGTTCTCTTCTTTTGATATTACATTTTCCCTTATATCAGCCCATTATCATTTTCCCTGGTTTTTATGTAATGAGTTATGTATATCACATAAGGAATAATAAATAAGACTTGTTTAAGTGGAATATATATATGTATAAATGTCCAATATGTTTGTTTATATATATATATATATATATATATAATAAAAAGAAAGAACAGTAAGATATATAATTCGGTGTTCTTATTGATATTTTTATTTTTACAAAACAATGCTCAATGTAAATTTACAGAGCATAAATATTATAAATTAACTGATTTAAAGTATGGTTTCTTCGCTACACAGAAATTACCACGTTTCAAAAAAGAAGCTAAAAACATAAAATTTAATTATATAATTATATCAAAAGCATTAGTTCTGTTTCATCCTCAAGCGTTAGCTTCTTTTTTTAAAACATGGTAATTCCTGTGTAGCGAAGAAACCATATTTTAAATCAATTAATTTATAATATATATAATCTCCAAACAAGTTTGATTAAAGAGAACACAAGGTCTGTCTTTTTAATTTTTTTTAACTCTTCTGTTCCTGTTCAATAGATGAGGAAGTAAACAGGTGATAGGCAATTCTATCTATTCCTATACTTTGATATATTGTAATTCTTTTGTTATAATATGTAAAATATATGTGAAACAATTTAATTTTAGAAGGAAAGAAAAATATGATTGTATTAAAGTGAAGAACTTTTGCACTATATAGATATAATATTCAAATACACACACACACACACATATATATATATATATATATATATATATATACACACACACACTGCGTGCCAAATTATTATCGAGATAACTTTTTTTAAAATATTTCAAAAACCGTCCAATCAATTCACACAAAATTTTCACACAATGTTGGCAACATTGATCTGCGCAATCACTGAAATTTTTGTACTGATCTGCGCAATGTAAACAAACTGGCGTCATATTTGTTATCAGTACGGTGATTTGAGCATGCCAAATTATTAGAAAGGTTTAGTAAAAATCATAGAATTGAGCACACAAAACGTTTATTAATGTTGCACGTCAATGTTTATGATCAAAAGAAGCTAATAAATAAGATATACAAACAAAAGCACAGTTTTAAACAAATTAATAGGGAATGTGCTTTCCCTGTTTTTAAATTACTTTAAGAAGTTGACGATCTATAGAATTTGTTAATTGGAGGATATCATCTGCTGTAATGCCACGAGATATGTCAAGAATTGCTTCCCACAACTCAGCGTTGCTCCTGAATTGTTGTACGTTGGCGTACAGTCTTCGCTTCATGATGCTCCAAAGGTTTTCGATTGGGTTCAAATCCAGAGAATTTGCTGGCCACTTCATTTTTCGAGGTCCATCGAAGCCTGTTTCAAATATTTAGTAGTCTTGTGAGCAGCATGTGAGGGAGCATTATCTTGCATAAAAACAATGGCCCTTCTGAAGGCAATTCTTTGCCTTTTCATCCACGGTTCAAGATGCTCCTTCATAAATGCTATGTATGCATCAGCAGTCATTTTGACGCCATTGGTTTGGTACTCCCATGGGTCCACTAATGTTTTTCCAATAATACCACCCCAGATCATTATGCCTCCACCGCCTTTGTTGGCGTCTCAAACGCTGATGGCATTCTGTCTGTTCATTACCCAGCCTTTGCACCATCTATCTGGCCCATCAAGTGTTGCTTTCGAGTTTCGTCTGTGAACAAAACTTTAGAGAAGTCAATCTTCATATTGTCCTCAGCCCATTTCAATCGATTTTGAATGTGATTTCTTGTCAACGGAGGCTTCATACAGGTTTGACTGTTGTTGATATTTCCCTCAGATACCGACACCGAGTACTTTTAGACACAGTAGGATCCCCAATGCGACTGAAAAAATCTTGGCTGGTAAGTCCAGGTTTATTTCAAAGGCCCCTCGTTTAAGTCGTGACATGAGACGACGTGAAATAACCCTTGGCTTGTCTTTTTCTGCCCTTTTTTGCGTACTTGTGTAGGGTCGGCGGTGAACTTTTTCACTGTTTGATGACACCTCCTATCATTTTAGAAATTTCTAGGTAGATTTACCTTTTTTAAGTTCTGAGGTGATAGTTTTTTTTTTTCAGCATCATTAAACTGCTTTTATTTTTAGCATCTTTTTTACTAAATTCTTACACTTTTCTAATAATTTGGCATGCTCAAATCACCGTGCTGATAACAAATATGGCACCAGTTTGTTTACATTGCACAGATCAGTACAAAAATTTCAGTGATTGCGCAGGTCAGTCTTGTCAACATTGTGTGAAAATTTTGTGTGAATTGATTGGACGGTTTTTGAAATATTAGAAAAAAGTTATCTCGATAATAATTTGGCACGCAGTGTGTATATATATATATATATATATATATATATATATAGATAAGTTTGTCTATCATCCGGTTCAGACTTCTCCCCACTCTTTTAAACAGTAGTAGAAGTTCATTCCTTGTTTCCTGTGTTAGAATTGGCTTTCTGGTTCCTTGTAAAGTCTTCTTGTTCTCTTTCATTCACAATAATCCCTTGTGTCTTACTGGCATTGTTGCCTTGCTTGGGGGGAAATGATTAAAAAAAAAGTAAAGTTATCTTTGTAAAATATTTGTCATTTTTTGATAATTCATTATAATGTACACTTTCTAAAATGACACCATGTTTCATGGAAGGTTATAGTCTGATCAACTTAATGTTTTTTTTTTCATTTCTCTTCTAGAATTGCAATGCAGACACTGTCCTGTTAGCTGGAACTTCCTACTCAATAATGCTCAATTCCTTGAAGACAAGTCCTGGAAAAATTAGCATCCTCTTCATCAGTAGCTTGGCAGCCTTAAGTAAGTTAACCAAATCTGTATCTGTTTATTTAATCTTTCTTTGATAATAATCTCATAAGTCCAGCCTGTAATTAGCAGTTAATAGATCCAGAGTTATTTCCCTTGAGGAGGCTTTTTTCCCATCAATTTATGCTTTACGAAAAATTGCTCAGAAACCATTAGCCTGATTGGACTTGAAATTGCTTTACTTTCCAAGTTTTTGATGGTATTGTGCTAACAAAAATTACACTATGATGTGCCATTTTTGATTTGTAACAAACACAATCATACAGATATTGGATCATTATGATCATAATACTGACATCTAGCTGCTGTAGATTATTACTAAGATTGATTGAATTCTGTCATAATTGACAATGGATAAAGTAGCTGTTTTACTTTTAGTATCTGGCAGGTAAGCATAGAAAGAATGAGTTTCATGTTTTATCACTATTTTACATGTTAACTGTGGTGCTGTACCACTTGACAAAACCAGATTGTATCTATGAGTATGGCTAGGAATTGAACTCTGATTTACCCATTCTATATTTAGTCACTTGTAACTGTTCCAACAAAATTATTATCTTATTTATCTTAAATTCTGAGTTTGCAGTACATTCTCCAAGAAGAAAATTAAAAAATAGCTATTAAGCTGTTTTCTTTGAAGTTTAATGTTTATTTTGCAAATCTGTTATAAATGTTGTCACTTATGGTGTAAAAAAACACTTTGTATAAAAAGAAATTTCTCGATTCTAGGCTTATTTTGAAATGGAATTGATGCTCAATGACTTCTTCAAACTGGTGTCCTTATCTTGCTTATCACAGTCATAACATTTGGCCATTGTGTTCTCTAACCTTCTTCAGATGTTTGTGGAATTTTGAAGCAAACCCTTTATTCAATCTACAAGTGTAGAGTTCTTATTCTATTGTCCTTTCTAAGGAATACCTGATATTAGATATGCTTTCCTTGTCAATTTGTCTTTGTGATACTGTTTCTGCTCATTCTACTGAAGCAGAATGGTAACATCAGAAAGGGCCCAGGTTAAAAGAAAGCAATCTTATGTGGTGCTTGCTGAAAGCAAACTGAAAAATGACTGGCACTTTTGTCACTCTATGGAGTGATGTCATTAAGTGACCATTATATGACCCAAGGGAGATAAGTGCCTTCTTTATCCTTACAAGAGTATTTGCTTTTCAGTTTTTTAAATGCAAATTCCACTCAGTGCCAAATTACTTCTTATTTATAGAAAACATGAAGAAACTTGTCAAAATTATGCTGTGATAACATTGCATTTATCTGTGTACAGTGCAACCTTCTACTTGATATGAAGATATCAGTCTAAATAAATCCATATATAATAATGCTAACACAAAATCACATGTCATCATTTAATGGGCAGATAGAAGCTCTTTAATCTTGGCTGGCAATCACTAGAAACGGTGTCTAGATAAAACCATCTATCTCCAAGCAACCTGACCATTCATGGGGATGTATCAGTGTAAAAACTCACAATGACAGATATTCTTAAAAAAATAAACATCTGTAATATACCACAGGTAGAAATAGCACAGCATATTGATAATATTTACATTATTTATATGTAGACTATCGTCCTCATCTTTGTTGTTATTATCACCTGATCACTTTCCGTTTGAATTTCTGGGATGAGGAATTATCATTATTTACATACAGACTATTGTCCTCATCTTTGTTGTTATCACCTGATCACTTTCCGTTTGAATTTCTGGGATGAGGAGTTATAATTATTTACATTATTTACATACAGACTATTGCCCTCATCTTTGTTGTTATTATCACCTGATCGCTTTCCGTTTGAATTTCTGGGATGAGGAGTTATCATTATTTACATTATTTACATACAGACTATTGTCCTCATCTTTGTTGTAATGAAGGCCAGAAATCATGACTGAAACATTGTGATAGCTACAATAACTATAAAGATAATCATCCATATGTAAATAAATATAACTCCTCATTCCAGAAATTCAGACAAAAATGGTAATTATAATGATGATAATTCCTCATTTCAGAAATTCAAAGGAGTTTGTTCTTTGCTACTTTGTGTACACCAACTTATTATATTATATGAATTATATGTGTTTAAAAAATATATTAAAATGGATGTGCTTAAAAAAATTATTATATTAAAATTGTCAGCTAAGAATTGATATAAAACCTTCATTCTTTCATTGTAGGTCTTGAGCAAAGACCCTTCAGCTGGGAGCAAATTCATAGTCAGTGTACAAGCCAAAAGAAAGAGATAGTATGCACATATAAGATAGCCTGCCTCTCTCTGATACGAGGCTTGATTTCCTCTGCAGAAAATAAGATCCTACTTTCTCTGATTCAACTACAAGGAACCAATATGAAAGTGCCACTTATTCTGCGTGTTTTTCCCTTAGTCTTTAGCTTGTGCAAGGGCCCCAATGTTCTGCTGCAATACCATAGCTTCAATACACTTCATATTTGGTACAACAGGTAAACAGGTTTATTTTTTCTTTTTCTGGTTGTTTGGAGATTTTGTGACAATGTAATTTTGCTATTACAAATACCTTGATTTTTTTTTTTGCATTTTATGTGGCAGTTTAATTAAACAATTAGAAAAAGGATTGGCTATAAATGAACATAAAGTGCATAAAAAATGTGAAAAAAATATTTTTAATAGTTTAATCTAATTGTATTTTATCCTACTACTTAATGTTTTAAACTCGCTTTAATTATTTTTTTTAGAAAATTTTAACCTGATTTTTAAATTCATCTGAATAATGAAGCAAATTAATAGTACAAAATTGAGTATTCAAGTTAATTTTTCAGTGGAGAATATAAAAAAAATTAGTAAAAGATTAATGTATTGGCTGCAGCTTTCCTGGGAATTTCTTTAAAAATGACTGATTTAAAAAAATTTTTAATATATTTTAATAATCCAGTTTTTCCAATGCACATTTATTTCTCTCTTTGTTTTGGTTATCATATAAGTTGCTATCCAGTTGCTGAAATATATGATTTTAATTCTATGTTAATAATATTTCACGCACATATTTCACTTTATGAATAATGAAGGTGACTCTGAAATGAATATTTAATTAACAAGTCAAAAATCGTAATATTATGCTACAGAGAGCCTCACAGCCAAACGTCATTTGCCTTAAAGCTTGGCTGTAAGGATCTTTGTAGTTGAGTTGTCTAAAGCATGCCAGATCAGATAGCAGTTCTTCCTATGAAGGAGGGATGCTAGTTCAAACCCTGCTGGAGAGCACATTTTGTTTATTAAATTTTCTTGAATGCAAAGGTTGGTAGATGAAATAAACTCTACTTAAAAAAAGAGATGTTCTACTCAAACACAGGTATCCACTGAAAATAATGTTTGAAGTAATATATATATATATATATTGAAGGTATGCTATATTTATGGGTAAAAATGCCCAAGTTAGAGCATATATAAATATAAAAGTGGACACTGAGGTCAACATCAAGCAGAGACACTCTCTTTCAAAATTCAACATAATTTTCAGCAGGCCTGAAGATTGCATTGAAGCATAGAACAGACTCTTGCCACTTAATGTTGACTTCAGTGTTCACTTTATATACAGTGAGGGGAAACAAATACTTAGTTTGTGAACTTTTGTCTTCTTACTGTTAATTTACCTTGGAACCGGTCCTCTCTTACCTATCTACCTTTCATGGTAGATGTCAGCCAGTGCATCACGAACAACGTGATTAAATGTGCTGGCACCCCATCATAAACCACATGTGTCTTTCAGTATCTGTCCAAATAATGTAAATAGTGCATATGTGTCTTTGTATTAGCAGTGGTACATCCTCTAGCAGATCTGGAAGCGTGTTCAAAATAAAGTCCTTGAAGACGTCTCCTGTAAGACGTGCTGGGAGAACATATGGACCTATCAGACAGTCACCTACAATTCCAACCCATACATTAATTGTAAATTGATGCTGGAGTCTAGCCTGTATTATACGATGGGGATTCCAGTTCGTCCAAAAATGTTGCTTGTTGTAAATTTGTTATTCCATCTTTTCCAAATGTTGCATCATCTATAAACATGACCGAAGAGACAAACAACGGATCGGCAGTTTGTGCAATAAACCATCAGCAAAAGGTCTCCTGTGGTGAGTGATCAGAGAATGAAAGACCCTGCACATGTAAATGATACATGTACAGGAACTGCTCTTGAAGTTCTCTATGTAAAAATCATATCTGCCTGCTCATGATATGAGTACCTTGCCATTGTTAAAGAGAACACTTCTCAGTTAACTCACTACTACACATGTTAAATGTTAAAGACAGACTAGCCACAAATGTACATGAATGACAAATGTAACCTAGTCTACATGGCAACATAGCACCATCTACAGTAAATTTTCTTTAAACTTAATAATTCAAAAATGAAGAATTTGCAGACATATATTTTTATGAACTTTTGTCCTTGTTTTGGTGTGAGGAACCCACACCCAAAGTTTGTAAAAGTATTTTTCATACACCCTGTATCTCTCTCTCTCTCTCTCTCTCTCTATATATATATATATATATATATATATATAAAATATGTTTATTTCAGATATTTACGCATACTGCCAGAGCTCTACATGCAGAAGTGTCCTGGTTTTACACAAGAAAACCGTGAAAAAATAGAAAAGCAATCTTTGGACTTGATCTGGTTGCACTGGGACAGCCCTGTTGAAGGTGTGTCAGATACAGTAGCTGACATCTTCCATATTATGTGCCAAATGTGGCATGTTGAACGGGGACTTGGAGATCAGGATGAAAATGCCCTGCCCCAGAGACTTCATCAAAAGCTGATATCTCTTCCCTGGTATGTGAAGGGCAAGTACAAATTGATAGGGTCGCTGCTACAGTTTCTGGAATTTAAGAATGTAAGTATCTCATCAAAATGTTGTATGATGTAATGTTTTAAAAGGATTTTTTGCTTTGTTATCTATATTGAAGGGTCATGAATTGATGTAATGTACCTGTAATGAAACTGTCTTATCAAATGTGCTTTTGAAAGAATGTACCTAAATATTAGAATACTTATGCAAGACTATATATATATATATATATATGTAAGCAAATGTAAATGGATATAGATCCGACAGAATGAAGAAAAATTTGGAAAAAACAAACAAAAATCCTTACATGCAATTATGTTGTTTAAAATAAATGAAATGTCAACATCTGACGTTTCGGTTTAATAAACCTTCTTCAGGACAATATTCATTAAAATACAATTCAGTTCAATTTGACAAAGACGATGGACATAAAAACAAGTCTTATCCAAAACAGATAACTGAAAACTTTTAAAATGATCAGCTTTCCGTTTAGCATGTTCACGTTGTCGTCACATGGGCGACGCTTTCGAAACGTATTCCTAAAAACAACATAATTGCATGTAAGGATTTTTGTTTGTTTTTTCCAAATTTTTCTTCATATATATGTTGAAGTAGCCAAAATGCTTGGGACAATGGACAATTTTTGCACTCCCTTACTCCCATTAAACAAAAAATGTAAGAATACTGGAAAATCTAAAAAAAGAAAATTAATTAAATTTTCATTATCTGTCATATTCAATGAAACATCTTTTAAGAATGGTTGCTTACCAGCTCAAAGTAGTAATCATATCCTTTTGACGTTACAAATACAACAAATCTAATCAAGTTGATTAAGAGAGACTTCTAAAATATGCTTGGAGCATCTTAGTGTTTGTTGCAGACAGAAGGGGATGCCCTAACCCTCTACTTTAATTATAGTTGGAATGGTTTGATTGATTGATTCGTTTTCTAAAAAGTGTTTTTATGAAGGATATGCAAAAGTTTCCAGCACATTACATTGAAAGTTACAGACTGAATGCACTATTGAAAACCATTTTTTGCCAGAAACTTTTGCACACACTTAATAATTATCTAGAGTACTTGCCAGCATTCTCATCTCAAAAGCCATTAGAAGTGAGTTTGTTCTGCATATTTTGTGACTGTTGCTTGGTGCCAAATCTGACTTTATTCACTATATATGTTTGGTTGTTCAGAAAGTCATGTCAAATTTTTAGAAACAGAATAAAAACCTATTCACATATAATAAAGATTAAATTTGTCAAGAAATTAACTATTAATTTTTGTATAATACTTTTTTCATCTTATTTCTTTTGCTTTTTATTACAACTCTCAAACCATTATTCTATGATTGTTGAAAGTGGCTTGAATCAGAAATAAAAGAGTGATTCTTGACAAAAACTGAAGAATCTGCAATGTTATTTACCCTGACCTGGCATCTGCATCCACTGACATCGTATAGCTTCCCTTTGCCTCTTGCATAAATATTTTCCCAGTAATTGTTCTGATAAGCTTTTCTTGGCATTGCTATTCATTGAATTTGACACTTGCAAATTTCTGGATTAGTTCTTTATAGTTAAAACCTTTAAAAGTGTAGAAGAGATTAGATTATTGTTGTTAGAAATCCCCTGACTTTTACAAATGGGATCATCCATGGCACATACCCAAAAGTGAACCATACCCATTCCCTTCATATTCCTATAGTAAGAAGTAAGTTCCATCAGGTTAGCTTCTTCCCAAGAACTGCTGCTTTGTGGAACAGACTTCTGACATGATGTTTTCCCAATCACTACAATTTTGACCTCTTCTAGTGTTTACTGATATCTTTCTGCATAACCACATAAACTTCACTTTTTGCCTTTTCTTACACTCATGCAACACCACACAGTAACTCTCTACCTTGAGTTGCTCTTAGGTCTTGTATTTGGTGAACATTAGTATAAAAAAAACCTATTGGTATAATTCAAGCATTAAAGTGTTGAAAGAAAATATATGACCATTTATCAATTTCCTAAGTCTAGTGGACCCACATGGAAATGTAGTGTTGATCTTTCTCAACAGGAATTAACAATGAACCCAAATGAACAGCACATACCTTTGACTACTTTCAATGTCTGGACTCTGCTCTACCTCTCCTAAAATATAGCAGAATATATAATAAATTTCTAATAACAAGGCTCCTGAACAAGTATTCTCATTGTCACCAAAACACTTATCTGAATAAGAAGAGATGTTATCATCATCCACCCTCTAGTGCTCTTTGAAAGTACCAAATAAATGAGTATATCTCTTTCTACCCTGGTCAAATGTTTCTCAGTTGCATTTTTACAGGACACCCACCATGCACATAAAAAGCTTATCTGATCTAGCCTCTTCTAATAAAATGATCATTAAAAATTTATCTGATCTAGTTCCCTTAACAAAGCAAACATAAAAAATAACCTACCCATATTTTTTTTATCACATTAGGGTATTTTTCAAAAGAGTGAAATAAAATTTATTTCTTTGAATGTTTGTTTAAGGGTAGGGAAAAATAAATGTTATTGATGAAGACAGAAACTCTTTTGGTCAGTGTGCATTTAACTGATACCTAAATTTTCCACATTCATGGGATTCAGCATTTATGCCCTAGTATCCTAAGATACTATTTTAACCTATATGCCTTAATTAAGTTTTCTAATTCTTTTTGCTGAATGCATGTAAAAGTGCACAATTTGATTATGTTTGGTATTGATTATACTGGTATGAGTTTGTAGCAAATCTTGTCACAGATGAAGAAGAGAAAGAAACAGATGTAGTTCTACAGAAGGATACTGAGAATACCATGATGCTGAAAATACCATGGACTAAACATGTGAGCAATGATGAGGTTTTAGAGAAAATGGAAAGTAAAAGGACATATATACTTAACATCAGAAAGTGAGTTGAAATTTCTGGGGCACAGGAATAAGGGCTTGGAGAATTTGATACTCACAGGACAAATTGAAAGCAAGAGAGACAGAGGAAAATAACACATAACCTACCGAAGTGAAGATGAGACAAAGTGTAATCTACTCTCTTTGGCTTTCTCAGTTAAAAATGAAAGAAAGACAAAACTGTATGTGAAGAAAAATGCCTTGGTATCTCTGACGATAAGTGGGGACCATAAATTAAATTACATTACTTTATCACTTCCGATGTCCAGGTTCAAGGGAGTGTTTGTACACTTGTTTGTTTTATCTATATTAAACTCATTTAGTATTGTTGGGTTTTAGATCAGTCCAGTGAAACTAGAGAGTGTTTTATATATATATATATATATATATATATATATATATATATATATTCTTTTCATTTCATTTTTGGAAGTGCTATCTGATGATCCAGCGTCCTTTAAAAAGGGCTCTGGTGAAATAAATTATCATAATGGTACCTTAAAGTGGTCTGTTTTTCTTTAAAATATTAGCTCTGGATTTACATTGAGCTCTCAGGATTTCATCCTCCTTAAAGATTACCCATACGGATTACCAAGTTCTTCATAACTTGAATATATATATATATATATATATATATATATATATATATATAATTCTAAAAAAATGTCACTTAACTGATTGATGCATTTCGACTCCAAATTTTCATAGGCAGACCTGTCCATGTACCAACTAACCAGCCTGAGTAAATGCATGGCAGAGCAGGATTTAAGTGAGATAACAAAAAGACAATATTTATTAAGAGCTAAAAAGGTCAGAAAATTGTGGAGAGACATTATAGCCACCATCCCAAATGGACACAGCACATAGAAGAAATATTCAAGTTAGTAAGCAAACCATTAACAGAAAATGTATAAAAGAATGGAATTAAAAACAAACAATTAATTTTTATGCAAATAAATTTCTTTCACCTAGGGCATATAGTCATATGTTGAAAAACCCCTTCTCACAGGATCAAACAAATTAAGCAACACTGAGCCTGGTCAGTACCTATATGGGCAACTGCTTGGAGATACCAGTTGTTGTAAGCTCAGATGTGCTTGGGGTGTAATGGATAACAGCTTTGAATTGGGAATCAGAGAGCCTAGTTCCAATTCCAGTTGAGTTTTTTATATTCACTTATGTGCAAATACCCTTGGGAAAGGTATAAATACACCTCTTCCCCCCACAACTATGGATTAATTAGTAGGACTTGTATCAGTAAATCATTATTGTCTCCAGAAAGTTACTACAGTCTAAAAAAATATTTTCTGGCTTTAAATAACCTGTAAAAGGTTGATAAGCCATAAAACACAAATCATTCAATCAAAAAAACTTTCAACTAAGAATTATGTAAAGGCCAATAGTCATAGGAAAAGATCATGTTTTCTTTTAACAAGACAATTATGATGTGAAGAGTCAAACAAAAGCTTAAAAACACCAAAACAAATCTGTTTAAAATAATTTTATGGCAATTGTTGATGAAATTTCCTCTTTGGTATCTTGATCATGAATTTTATGGCAATTGTTCTGATAAGATTTCCTTGACCATGAATTTAAGCAGAGCACAAAACTTGCAACTTAGTGCCATTGTTTTACTGTTGAAATTACTAAATGTAACCATAATTTCTATCTCAATAGTTTCTTCTCTCACTCTTCTTGACTATGGAACTCTCTTCCAGTTTCTTGCCTTCCTGTCAACTAGATTTTTTCAAAATGAAATGCAACATCAATTGCCATTTCTATCTCCTTGCATCCTGTTTTTTTTTTTGTACTTTCTCCTCAGTAATATCTTCATCTCTATTGTTTTTTCATCCTCAGTAACACCTCCTGGTCTCTTTGTGGCTTTATCACCTTTTTGTGGTGAAATGATTTTAAAAAAATTTGCTCCAATCTTAGGCACACAACTTAGTTCAAAAAATTTTTATTTAGTTTTTTTTTTTTTTTCATTTTTGACTACAATGACTACCTATGTTATGGGCACAAATGTAACAATAAATTTCACTTATGAAAAAGTGTAACCTTGCAATGAGTGTCTTAATTCACCAAGTGTTATTAAACAGAAATTATCTCTCTCCTAGTCATAAGCATCCTGTATGGTTTTCAGAAAAAAGAAATTGTTTATTTTATTTTTTGTTTTTGGTTGTGTAAATCAATTATACAACCTGAAGCATTTGATATTGTACTGAAATTTTTCTTGTTTAAATACACTGATGTGTGAATTTCAAAGTTTAAAGTTAAGGTGTAAAAGTTCAGGAATACCTTGTAAAATATCTGATTACTGCAAAAAGATTGTTAGTTATTAATTTTTGACTAGTATTGTTAATACTGTTCTATTTTATTATTAGTTATTGTTGTTAACCTTTTATTGGGCCTAATAAAATCTTCAGAATGCATGAATCTTCTATCCATCTCATAATTTTTATTATGGTATATTTTTCCATAATAAATTTTTATTATGGTATATTGTAACAGTTGTTCTGTTTTATTATTAGTATTTTTTTTTTATTTATCTCTTATTGTACCTAATTTGTAAATTAATTAAAAAAACTCTACATATAAGGTTTAGTATTATCTGGTTTCTGGCATCTGCTGGGATTTTAGGGCCATATTGGCTTATGGCCATATCATGTTAAAATACTGGTTCCATATGATCACTGTTATGGACAATTACTGCAGCATAAAATTTAAAAAGAAAAGATAAAAAAACAACTTGTCAAAGATAACCAGGTTTACCATTCTATAGTGGAAAGGATTCTCTAGAGGTTTGAATACATGAATGAGGAAAAACAACCAACATTAACGAACAACAGACACCAATATACAAATTAACAAGATGTAATTATAATGAGATGATACATGAAAACATTAATGTAAAGAAATATGTGGGCTATACATTTCTGTAAGGAAAGATGTATGTGTTATATATTTTAGCTGGAAAGTCAAAATTCAATTAGCTTTGGCTATTCACCTGAAATAGGGTTTTCTCTTTTCCCTTTTCCTCTTGTTTTATATTGAAAGTAAAATGTCTATATAAGCATATGTCCAAAAGGCCATCATTATACCTCAACACAGCAACTCATAACAAATGTTAAAAATTTTTTTCTGTTTGTTTCTACACACACATGCACCCATCGGATTATTGACTGGCAGACCCTTTCAAATACTTCCACACAGCGTCAAATGGTTTCACAAGCTTCCATGACACATTGATGAATTGTCTCTGCATTATTAATGTCTGCTGCATAAACCAATTGTTTTAGGTTTCCCCACAGATGAAAATCCAAAGGATTGAGGTTGGGGGAATGAGCAGGCCACGGAACCAGTCCTCACCTATCTATTCATCTTTCATGGTAGATGTCAGCCAGTGCATTGCAAACAATGTGACTAAAACGTGCTCAAGCCCATCATGAATGAATCACATGCATCTTCATATTAGCTGAGGTACATCCTCTCGCAGGTCTGGAAGTGTGTTCGAAATAAAGTCCCTGTAGATGTCGTGCTGGGAAAACATATGGACCTACCAGACAGTCACAAAAAATTCCAGCCCACACATTAAGCATAAACTGAAACTGATGTCTAGCCTGTATTATACCATTGGGATTCCGGTCTGTCCATAAATGTTGGTTGTGTAAATTTGTTATTCCATCTCTTCTGAATATTGCATCATCTGTAAACATGACAAGAGACAAACAATGGATCGGTGGTTTGTGCAATAAACCATTGGCAAAAGTTCTGTGGTGAGTGATCAGAGGGCAAAAGGCCCTGAACACATTACAAATGATACAGATACAGGAGATGTTCTTGAAGTAACCTCCAAGCAGTACTATGAGATGTATGACATGCTAGAGCCACTTGAGGTGTGCTGATACTTGGACTGTCTTCAACAGCCAGTAGAATGTGTTCGTCATAGTCAGACATACGAACGGATCTCAGTCTTCCTTGATCCATTGTTTGTGGTGTCTTGAATCCTGTCTCAGCAACATGATAAACAGCAGCAAATGTTGGATGATTCAACTGCCTTTGACTTGGAAACACAATCTGATACAGCTGTGTGGTCTTGCATCCATTACCATTTGTGTGGCCGTATGTAAAAATCATATCTGCCTGATCACAATATGAATATCCTGTCATTGTTAAATGGAACACTTCTCACTTAACTCACTATTACACATGTTAAACGTTGAAGAGAGACTTGCCACAAATGTACACGAATGACAAATGTAACCTAGTCTACATGGCAACATAGTGTTATCTACTGCAAACTTCTTTTAAACTTAACTCAAAAATGAAGGATGTTTGGACATAAGTTTATTATATTATATGAAAATTTATGCTAGAAGTTCATTCATTACAATTATGTCATAATTATACTTGTCATAGAAGCAAAAAACTCAAAATCATTGTTTATAGAAATACACAGGGGAGGGGGTAGAAATTTTTTTATTATCATCAGATCAGAAACACAACCCAACTAAAATATGATCATAGTTTATCTTCACTATTATAATTAGTTACAGATCCTTTGTGTGCTCAGAAAATTTATTTTTTATTAATTCACTCAAGGCAATAATGCCACTAAGACACAATGGTCTACTGGGAGTGAAAGAGAATGAGAAGACTTTAGAAGGAACAGGAAGCCTAATCTTAAACAGGAAACAAGGAATAAACTTAAAAGCAATATCGCTAGTTTCTAGTCTAAAGTAAATCAATGTCTCTTTCTAGTATAATTTATAAATTTACATGGTATTACATAATAGTATAATTTATAAATTTACATGGTATTACATAATAGTATAATTTATAAATTTACATGGTATTACATTTGGTTGATTTTGTTTAGTGACATGCCAACCTCTATGGCTTATTTAATGCTGAAATCTAAATATTTAGAACACAATCTTATGGCTTCAACTACAGATAAAATATATTGTTGGGAATTCTGCTATAAATAGGTATTGTTAGTAATTTTTTTTTATATAAAAATGTGTTGCTGGTATTTTTTTTTATAAAAATGTATTTTTATACTTTCATAGTCTTGTTTTTGGATTGTGAGTCCACTATTTGCTCATAGTTGGGACCCTTACAGGTGCTACCACCCCGGGTCAGGATGGACTTCAGGACAACAGCAATTAAGTGGTGGTTCCACACTCCTCAAAACCTCCAATCCTCAAATCAGGCCTTACTGCCAGATGTAGTTTATCGTCATACCCAAAAGTACCTTCAGCAAAGACAAAATGAATCAAAGTTGTTCTCTTTTTTACTTTGTGAGAATATGACACAAAAATACAATGGTTAAAAATTCATGTTAATTTTTTATATGCTTTATCTATTTAAGTGACACTGATTAGCTTTCTTGTATATAGGAGATAATAAAACTCTGCATTTACTGATTTAACCTGTTTTATCTACCCTTGTAGGCCCTTACAAATTTAGAAGAAATAAAATCTCAACTCTTGATGTGCATGGCCACAAACCATTTGGCTCCAGCAGCTAGTGAAGTTTACAGAGTCTACATGACTAAATTGGCAACGTAAGTAATCCCCTAACATAGATTTTGATTCAATTTTTGAATATCATAAGCTAAGGCTGGTATCTGTTACTATATTATATACTTTTGAGCCTTACATATTTTGCCTCTCATTCTCTCTGATTTAAGTTTTGACTACTGCCTACCCTGTCAGTTTTTTCATTCTTATACCTTGGTTGACTTTAGTTCATTTTCCTGCCTTTACTGTCTTTCATTGTGGTTTGGATTGAGAAATCAGAAAATCATGTTTGAATTCTGGTCAGGTTTGTTACATTTTCTTATGTGTAAATATTCTTGGGAAAAGTATGAATTTAGCTTCTCCCCAAAGTTATGGGTTAAATGGTAGGACTTGTTTCTAGAAAAATCAGTGTTGTTATTAAAAAATTGTTAATGCAATATTTACTTGCAAAAAAAGAATTATTCTTGCAATCAAAAAATATGTTTTAGCTTTAAATAACCAGCAATGGGTTGATAAGCTGTAAAAAAACAAATCAATCTGCCTGTTTTTCAGCCTGGTGGATTTTGCCTGTTACCCATTACTTTTGTATACAGCTGATCACTTACTCTTCATGTTAACTGTTGCCAACAATTTGTTCTGTAAAATTTTCTTGACAATTTCTCTCTTTTTTTCACCTCACTAGACATTGGCAACTTCTGATATTTCAAAGATTTTGTGAAACTTGAATTCACAACAATATTTTTGTCAACCCTTAGGAGATTAAAATAAATGATATTTGTTTCAAACTCTTTCAGGTCGTCTGAGATTTATATTTTACTAGCAGTAGAGCCCAGTGTTGCCCGGGGATGTAACAGTAAGAGATAGATGAAGTATCGACCATCATAAAGACAGAAAAATAAAATTGACAAAGATTATTGTTTAAGGTTGACGGACACGCATGTCTTAATTAGTTTTTTTTTTTTTTTTTTTTTGGTCAAACCCAAACTCAAACAAAAACATTGTTTTCAATCATTATGAGTCTACTGATTGAATAGAATTTTATTATAAACAATTGTTTTGTAAATGGAATTTTTAAAGCATTCTGAATGTAAAATAAAGAAAAAAAAGTGTGCAAGACAATAGAAACACTACCTGCCAAAAAAAAAGTGAAGTTTTGTTGAAATCGGTTGAAAAAATGTAAAATCCGATCCAATATATAAACGAACAGACACACACACACACAAGCAACCAACCAACCTGGGTTTTATAATAAGTATAACTCGATATGAGTTGTCCCCTTTTCATTAATGCCTCTTAATCGTGTTTTCAAATTGATTTCATGCAAAAACAATTGTGTTTTTCCAATTTTTGGCGCTGTCAGAACCACCGCAAGGTAATTTTACATAGTCCTGTGAAGTTTTGTTGGAAATCGGTTGAAAAATGTAGGAAATCTGATCCAATATATAAACGAACAGACACACACACACACACAACCTGGGTTTTATAATAAGTATGATGTACAAAAAATGAATTAAAAATTCATTAACCAATTCTAATCATTTCTAAAATGTGAAGGGTGTGCAGGTAGCATAACAGAAAGTGGAATTGGTAAGCTGAGTTCAAATTCCCACCAGGTCTGTTGCATTCACTTTTGCACTAATGCCTTAAAGGAAAGGTATGAATTCATTCTTTCTCTCCCCAGAAAGTGAAATTGTCAAACTGAATTCAAATTCTTGCCTGATCTGCTGCATTCACTTTCATACTAACATCCTAGGGAAAAGTATAAAACCATTTCTTCTCCCTCCAGTTATGGATTAAATAGCAGAATAGACTGAACTCTCAAGCCTTGGGTTGTAGTCAGTCTGAGAAGTAGTACTCTCAAATCAAAACCAGGGAGAAGAAAATGAGAAACCACTTCATTATCTTTTCCAAGAAATCATAGGTGCTTTGGCATTGAGTAACGGTTAGCAAGGCTACTCAGAGTGAACATTACTGCTAAGTAGTGAGTTCAATCCTCACTAGGTGCCAAAATACAAAATTTGACATTAAATGACACAATAAAGGTTGACATGTAAAAATCAACTTGCCAACCAAGGCAAGAAATGGAATCTGCAGAGAGCCAAGATGGCTTATATGCTGAAGAGGTATTTTTTTAACAAGAGCCACTCAAGGTAGAGCATTACAGAGTAAGAAACACTGTTTTATGGGCTGTCATTAAAAAGAAAACTGAAGGCTTATGTTTTGTTACTGATCAAAACTTTTAACAAATGAGAATGTAGGTGACCTTTTAACTTTGTACATATTTTAGTATCATTTATATTATTTTATTTGTTTGTATGTATGTATGTATGTACCACCATAACAATTTTTGTCCAGAAACCTGATCAGATCTTTTGATTTGTATATAGGCAAGTAAATGACATGCTATTCTACCCTTTGAATATTGGGTGAAATTAATTTATAAATGCAAAAAGTCATTTTTTTTAATAACATTTGTTTTGATTGTGATATGAAATAATCTTTGATGTGAAATAAACACATTGAAATACAAAATTCACAGATGTTTATCCCAATTTTGATTACTAGTCAGAATGTTCTTTAGAGCTGCCTTATTATTTTTTTGATTGACCATGTAATTCTTTTTAATCAGATGCCAAAATCCAGTCAAAATATGGGATAAAGGTTGGAGAAATACCCTTTTAGGAGGATTAGCAAGTAAAGATGAGTAAGTACTTTTCTTTCATTTAAATATTTTCCTTTTGTTTCAGTTTTATCTAAAATGAAAAAAATGTTATTGTTCATTATTGAAACAAATATACAGCATATGATATATACATTTGAGAAATAGAAAAAACCTGAAAATCTTATCAAATTAGGAATAAAATGCTAAATTTTGGTACTTTTCTCTTTTTCTTACTCTCATATAAAAGTTAAAATTGGGACTGAAAATCTTTTTGAGAACACAATATTCTTAAATGTACAATTGTAGAGTTGAGAATTTTGTCAAAAATGAGTCTACAGTTTGTCTGAAATTATTATGCAAATCATATAAATCTCAATAATTTAAATAGCTTTGAACAATTTTTGTTAAATTTTAAACAATTTAGACATCAAAATGAAGCTTGAGTTAAATTTTTAGTTAGTTTCAACATGTTTTATTAAAATTATTGGATTTATTATAAAAACTGCAGCTTGAAGTTAAACACAACACATATGACCTGATTATGTTTAGCATGAAATAGACTGTTGCATCTGGGTGTTGATTTCAATGTCCACTCTTATATTTACATACTTTCTATGCCTGATATTGAGCACTTTAACACATAAATATAGCATACCTTAAAACTATAATGTATATATATATATATATATATATATATATATATATATATCAAATGACAATTGAAACAAATCTTACATTTTACTCCAGCGTTTATGTCTTCCAACTTTTCAAAAAAAAATGAAATCGAAATCTTTTTATTGTTATAGTTACATTAAAAATTCAAATTTAAAAATAATAATAATAATAATCATCCCTTACTATAAAATTAATTTATATTAACCAGAAAAAAAAAAAAAAAATTTTAGAAGCGTCTATCTTTTAAATTTGGATTTTTAATGTAACTATAACAAAAACATTTCGATTTCATTTTTTTGCCTTGAAAAAGTCAGAAGAATTAAAACACGTCGGGTCAATGTAAAATTTTTTTTCCAATTATCATTTGATACCAATCTGTCTTGTCCACAGAATTCATCTGGGAATTTAACTATATATATATATATATATATATATATATATATATATATATATATATAAAGTATCTTTATTGTTATTATATGTTGCTAAAACTATTATTATGATTAATATGATATATCATGACTAGAATTTATTAAACAAATACCTCAAATTTTTCATTTACTCTAATGTCATATATAATAGTAGAGAATGGAAACAATAACTGCATTTGAACCAGACATAAATTTTTTTTTTCTTATTACTGCCCACTGACTATCCTATCTTCTTTTTCCCACCTCTTTTTTTAAGCATTAGTCATTTCTGTACTAAAAAAAAGAATCAATATTTCTGGTAGTAACACAATTAAAATTTTATAATCTTGTATTGAATTTCGTAATTTTCCATTTAAAGTTTATTTTAACAAGTTTCAACATTCACTCTGTATTGTGCATTGAAAATCAGAAAGAAAAGCCTTGTCAGTGGTCAGGAATTAAAGCAAGCATCACAGACAGATAGAATAGAGTGATTTTATATATATATATATATATATATATATATATATATAAATCAGTAATTTTTGTTTTCATTTTGTAAAATTGTTCTTTCAGGATGGTGAAAAGAAATGTCAGCCATTATTGGCTTTCCTCCACTCTGAAGTTTATTCCACAGTGTGGGGAGCATCTAAATTGGCTACTCACCAGCAGTTTATACACGTCTGATAACATCCAGATGGATCCATGTCAAAAACTGGACCTCCAGATGAAATGGACCCATTCAGAATTACTTCATATGTGGGTCATGGTATCTTTAACCTCTCGGTCACTTTCTGGTGTTGTTGTATGGGTATGTATTTTTTTAAATTTATTTTAAAGACTTGAATATGAACTTCTGACCAAATGTGTTTCAAATTTTAAGGCAGAAATTTTGATTAAATAACTTTGTCAAAAAAAGAAATTAATATAAAATTTCTTATAATATTTAAACTGCGTGCCAAATTATTATCGAGATAACTTTTTTTCTAATATTTCAAAAACTGTCCAATCAATTCACACAAAATTTTGACACAATGTTGGCAACACTGACCTGCGCAATCACTGAAATTTCCATACTGATCTGCACAATGTAAACAAACTGGCGCCATATTTGTTATCAGCACAGTGATTTGACCATTGGGATCTTTGAGGTTGATCATGCTTAATCTGGGTCCTTGTCTTCAACTTTGGCGCCAAGGGTGACTCTACCAGGATGGCTTCACTCTCAGAGTCATTGGACCATGCAAGCCCCCCCCCACCATGACAAAGAATGACCATCAGAGGTACACAAACTAAACCATTATTATCTCAAAAAAAAAAAAATCTTATAATCTAAAAATATTTTCTGGCTTTAAATAACTTGCAAAGAGTTAAGCAATAAAAAAAACAATCAATCAATAAATCTTGGCTTGTGTGTTTTTTTTTGTTCCAGAATGAAACATTATTGCAGGAAGCCCTCTATTCTGATGACCCGACAGTCAGATTAGACACCTTGTCTTTACTCTGCAACTCTGCCAAAAAAGCAGGTAATTTAAAATCATCAATTAGTCTTTGTTTTTTAATATAGTAATGATGTGTGCATGTCATAATGATTATCTATCAGCAGATCTATTTCAAATTTTAGCCAAAGTTGATCACTTTGTACTAAATGGAAAAGCATGAATCCATCTGATCTTGAAATTAATTCTGAATAAATAGTAGAGCAAACTTGGCTCATTAGCTATGATAGACAACTGCTCAAAGAAAATGGCAACTCTGAATTCAGATCTGTAGAGGTGATGGGAAACCACTCTATCTTTCCCAAGAACATATAGTGATTCAAAATTCACAGATATTAACGAGAAAGAAGTTGTGAAGAACCATGATTGTTACATAATTTAGATTAAAAAAAATGGTATCTATTTTTTGCGTTGTCTAATGACTGATACATTATAGGTAAAAAGTAAAAACATTTAGATGATATAGTAACATGTGGCCTGAAGATTACTTGAAGTGTGAAACTGAGAGTTACTATGTTGTGTTGATTTCTATGTCCACACTGTCTATATCTATAAATGGTCTCTCTGATATTCCCCAATAAATATAGCAAACTTTAAGCAACACACACACACACACAGGTCTAGTGAGATGTTCAGGAATTTGAAAAAAAGTTATACTCTAACACCTAGTAAATACTAGGTGTTAGAGTAAATACTGTCTATTTCAAATTTGTTTGCTTGCTGTTTGCACACAGGTTCAAAGGTAGTGACAAAAGTTTGCACTTTGCACAGCTACATTGATTTTACATGAATTTTTACATTAATTATTTTTACTTAATTTTTCAATAGTATCTCAAATATATTAACACAAAAATACTAAATTGTATAAAGTATATACAAATACTAGAAGCATTAAGCAGAAAAACAAACTTATTTTATCAAATTTAGGACCAATCATACTAAATATATTTCACAAATTAAAAAAAAAAACTAACAAACTGGTGCATGAAGACACATTTGCTCTTAAAAATCAAAATGATACTCGAAGACATGGTATTTGAAAAAAAAGATGAAATTAACATAGCACAAAACAAAACTTTTTCTTAATAAAGCCAAAAGTAATGTGATATTGGGTAATTTATATTTAAATTTTTACTGGAAACCAGGAAAATAGCCTGAGATATAGAAAAAAAAAAATCATTAACAAAAAACTTTTATTGGCCTTTAGCCAAACTTGTCCAAATTTTCTTGCTTTGTCAAAATAAAAACAAATTTTGGTAAAAAATTGAAAAGAAAAGAGCACAAGTTAAACAGATTTCAAACAGCACCTGATGATTGCATCGTGCATAAAAAAAGTTATGCTTCCGGTGAAGAAAAAAAAAATGTATATTTATTATTAGTATATATTTTAGATCTGTTATTATACATTGATCATGGTTTTATTAGCACCAGCACTCAATATGTCATAATTTATATATATAGATATATATATTTTAAAGAAAAACAGACCACTTTAAGTTACCATTATAATAATTTATTTCACCAGAGCCCTTTTAAAGGTTGCCGGATCATCAGATAGCACTTCCAAAAATGAAATTAAAATTGATGGGTAGTGTTATATATATATATATATATATATATATATATATACATACAGAGTGAAAACTGGAAAGTTATTAGCCTTATCAATAAGCCCTTTCAAAAAAGTTCTGAACTTTGTCATTTTGGTCAAATTTTGGGCTGATTTTTCAGTAGTCTCTTATATATATATGTATACATGCACTAATATGCTTCTTGTTGACTAACATTTCTGTTAATCAACTATGTAAATGTCTATCTTTGACACAATAACTTGACTGTATGATTTTCTAAAGCTGATCAAGTTATGACACCTAAGTGTCACTGAGTGCAAACAAAACCACTTTCTCCAACCCCTCAGTCTGGGACCCAACCCCATATAAACAACTTTATAATTTTTTTTTTTTTTTTTATATGGCAGATGTTCTTCTATAATAGATAGCTCTGATTTTGTTTCAAGTTTCTCTCTTCTGACCATTCCCACTCTCCTTCCATCATCTCCTCCCCAACTTTTCTGGTGTGAGTCAAGGCAGTTATTTGGCTTGTTTTGGAAGAGAGGCAGGAAATACTTCCAAGTTCTCTTTTTCTATTCACAGTCATAGGTACTTATTTCAATGGCCAGCTATAAATTTTGTTTATATTAGTACCATTATGTTTTGCTCTGGTTAATACAAAGAATGAGTCAAAACTTTGCAACCTTGCTGTAACAATTTTTACATGGTTACCAAAGAAACCTGTAGCCTAACATTGTCTTGATGAAATATAATAGCTTTTTTGTTTATTTGGTAAACTATTATAACATGCATTTCATTACTGTTCTCAACTAAACTAATTGGGAACAGTATTTGTAGGAATTATTTATTTCTACAGAAGGAGCTCATAGTAGAAGTCTCCATTCCAATCTTATTATGAATGTCTTTGAATGAAGAACTGTCTTCGGTATGCTCAATGGTGTATTATTTTGTCTTGCATTTCATATAGGTACCTTCAAAACAATAAAAATAAAATGTTACCATCAAAATCTTTGCTATTGTTAAGAGGAAAGATTAAAAAATTTTCAGATGTGAAATTTTTTTTTCTATTCTTTATAGAACCCTGGAAATTTTGTTTTAAGTCTTTTGTTTCTTTGGCATAAAAATGAGACATTTTATTTATACAGGAGAAAACTCATTTATTTAAAAAAAAAATCAGATAATTGTTGGATTATAATAAAACTTTCAGGACCCCTTCAGAAATGAATTATTTTTGAAACATTTCTTTTTTAGAAAATCTTTGTAAAAAATATTTTTTAAAAATCTGTTAAATGCCTTAATTTTTATGAAATTTTTAGAAAATTCTTTTTTGTATTACAAAATGTTTATATTTGTTATAAGGAGAAATCCTCAGAGAATTTAAATCATAAAAATCTTCTTGCCAAGAGGACATCCAGTTATAAAAAAATTTACCCTGCATCATAAAAAATGTAATAAAACTAAGATATATTTTTTTTATTAGAAAAGCTTTTAATTGCTTTTATGAATAGAATATATTATGGACACTATTGTTGTAGGAAAGAATATGTTTTGCTGAATATTGAATTTTTATAAATAATGCATTCAGTTTTTTAAAAATCTTAATTAGCATTTTAAAATTCTGTATTAATTTGTAGCAGCGAAGTGATATTGTTATTAAATTAAAATTTTATTTATTAATCATAAATGGTAAAGTTCATTACAATTCAATGCCTTCCACTATATTAAAAAGAATATTTTAAACTTTTTTGTTTGTATAAATATGTTGATTTTTGTCAATATAGATAGCCATACTCAACATTATCAGAAAATAAGAGAGAGGTACCTATAATAAATTTAGAATTTATTGGCAATTTTCTAATATTTTTTCAACAAGCATCTTCATAAGTGAGTGACCTCTTGCACCAAAATAACTAAAATTCAATAAAATATTAAATAGCTTAAAATATGTTAACTTTTTAAGATTACTGGGTAGTTAAAAAAAAAATTATACAAAATAGGTGTTCACTTTGTATTTGTCAAGTAATTTGTGTCAGTTCTGTTGCTCTTACTTAATTTTCCCAAGTATCTGTCAATAAATCAAAAGTCTCTTTATCAATTTTTTTGGTCAACCTCTCCATTTAAAAAAAAAAATTTTCATACTATATTTTAATTTAAAAGCAAGTAATATTTGTCTCAAATCAGATTAATTAAACTTTAAATAAGAAAATTTTCCTCAAATGACATTTAAGACAAGTATATTTTATTTTTGAAAGATTTAAAAAAAAAAGAATTACTGTCAATATGGATGATTTTACTGATAAAGAAAAGAAAGAAGATTCTAATCAATCTAAGTTCAGTTTAAAATTTAAAAAGTGTTTTTTTTTTTATTTTAATTTATATTCAATTTATAACTTTATATTTCATTTTTAATTTTTCACTTTTTAAAATGTATTTTAAACTTAGGTATTGGAAGTACCTAATTTTGTAATTTCATAATGTGTCCATTATTCATTGCCTGTCATAATATATTTCAGAAACAGGACATTTAAATACAGTCTTGTAGTTTGTCGATCTATGTACATCTTATTTGAAAATTTTAAAAATACAATAAAATATTAAGCAGTCATGTCTTGGCAGTTGAACTTAATAAAATATTTGTTTATAATTCTGAGATTAGTTATTGTAATTATTTACACTATTTACATTGTTTGGACACAAGGCCCAATGGATAAAAGTGATGGTTGGCTCCAGTGATTTGACCCAAAGATTGTGAGTTCAATACCTGGCTACTGCAGAGGTGAACAAAGACTTGGAGAGTTGAGTTAAAGGGAAATAACATGAGGCATGGCCCATAGAACTAGAATAATCTACCCCGAGTAACATCAGGAAGAGGTTCGAATTCCATTTGCCTGAAGACCAAAGCATACAATTCCCAAAACATTGTGAATATGGCAATGAAGATGAGGACAACAGTCTGAACAATGTAAATAGTGTAAATAATTAACAAAATATGCTTTGATGAATTCTTGCTGCTTAAATGCACCATGTAAGGAATCAACAGTTTCACATCTCAATATGATCTTCAAAAGTCAAATCTGATTAAGACATATACACACATACACATGAGGGGTGCTGAAGATCTCATTGAGGGATTAAACTGACAGTCATCATATTTTCTATAACTTTCCAATCTGATATTAAGCACTCTTCTATAAACATACTATAATTTAAAGTTTGGTTATGTTTTTACATATATATACACATATCTTCAAATTATGCTATATCTATGGGTTAAAGTACTCAATATCAGGAATCAGTGGAATGGGGAGGATTTGTTTCAGTATTACTTCTGCAAAAATGTGGGTTGTCTTTGCTGGGGCAGATGTTTATTTTATTTCATGCAAGTTCTTGTTCAATGTTAATGAAAATGCATGTCCAGTACTAATGACTATATGTAGCTAAAATCTTGCTCTCTCT